CTGGGACTTCCCAGGTGGAATTTAGAGTCCCAGATGAAAAAAAGAAAATGGCTTAGAGATCTGACAGTTTTGAGATATTTACATGTGGCTGGATAGAAGCACAGTTTCTTCCCCTCCTTAGTTTCATATCTGACTTATCTTACAGGGAGGCAGTGTCCTCGGGGAACTAACAAAAGAAATGTCGGTGATGGAAATTAATTTTGAAATTCCAGGCAAGATGATTGAGTTAATGATCTAGTGGAACATTTTTCCTCTGGACATGGCATCAGAACATTTTACCAGCTTTTCCATGACCTGCCCCCATCTTGTGTGTTGAAATCAAATATTCTCCTTCTGCCAATGACAACGAAGGTCACTTGTGGCAGGGACAGGACTGCCATCCTGATAAAGTCTCATAGTCTTGAGGTCTGGACTCACCCTCCTTGTGAACAAATACACACAATCTTATATGTAGCATGTCACAACTTTCCTGGATTGTTATTTCAGAATTAGTATAAAATAGTGAAAAGAGTTAGTAGAATTACAGTTAAACTCAAGGTCAAATCCAAACTCACTGCTTACATATCAACTACAGGAATGTTTCTTATATTATTTATGCCTATTTTTTCCTATATGTAAAATGACGATGAAAGTACTACATCCTTCAATTATTTAATTATTCATTCAGGAAATATGTAATGTGTGTCTACTACATGCCAGGCACTGATAAAAATGACATTGAGATGACAGAAGACACAACATGCTCATAGAACGTATTTTCTAAGCAGAGAGAGAGAGAAAATTCATATAAAAATTAATAAATGTCATAAGAGAAAATAAAACAGAAAAGTGTGATCAAGTTAAGGTGATTGTTCTTTTATAAGGGGTGATTGGAGAATTCTTCTCCCAATGAGATGTCTAAGCACAGAACTGGAAAAGTGTGGAAATTATCCATGAGAATATTAGAAAAGCATATCAGACAAAGGAAAACATACATGCAAAGACTCTGTGGCAGTAGCGTGTTTTTCTAAAAAATAGAGGAAGGCCAGTATGACTGGAGCAAAAGGAGTGATGGAGAGCTTGCTACTGGTAGTCGACATTAGAGAGATATGAGGAAGCCAGGTCATGTAGGGCAGGGCTGGGCGAACTACAGCCAGTGGGCCAAATCCAGCCTATGGCCTATGTATGTACAGCCCCTTTAAGTAAGAATGGTTTTTAAATTTTGGGAAGGTTGTTTAATTTTTTGTTAAAGAGGACTATTTGACAGAGATCAGAAGTGGCCCACAAACCCTAAAATATTGACTATCTGGCCTTTTACAGAGAAAATTTGTCAACTCCTGATCAGATCCTTAATGGCCACAGTGAGGACTTTTTATTTGTGTTCTAAGTGTGATAGGAAGCCATGGAGGGTTCAAGAAAGAAAGTTGCATGATGTGACTGACAGATTTTAAAGGATGTCTCTGGCTGCCATGTTAGCTCAGACTGTAAAAGGAGGAAGGGACAGAACAGGAAGCGCAACTAGAAGGTCATTATTGTAGTCTAGGCAAGACCCAGCAGCAGTAGAATGGACTCGACTGGTAGGAAGTGGTGCCAAGTTATGGAATACAGAATATATTTTGGAAGTGGCACCAAAAGTTGCTTTGGGTTGACTGTGGGGTATGAGAAGAAGAAAGGAGTGAAGGAATGCTGAGATTTCTGATCTACTCATTACCACTAAAGTTGTCACAGAAACGGAATGAGAGAATGATCTCTTCTGCCTCTAAGGCTTGACCCCTCCATTTCTTCTGCCATTTTGCAGTCAGGATTTTCTTCCTGTTTTGGTTGGGACATCCTCCTTTCAAAAACCTGCTCCATTGTCCTCTTAACTGTAGAACAAAGGCCATCCACTGACCCAGTCTGAGCTCTCCATAATCTGACTGCCCTTCATCTGCATCCTAACTCCTTTCCAGCTATTCCTGTTCACCCACCCCAACACTAACCAATAAACAGTCTGTGAGAACCCACATACACCTCATTTTTTCTACTTTCAGATCTTCACCTGACTGTGTTACTCTTTCTTACCATGGAGAAATGTCAACAGTCCTTCCAGAATGGTGTGGTTTTCCTTTACAATAAAGCAATTTTTTAATACTCTCTTCACCCTCCTAGTCTATTCCAATACTCTTTGTCTTCACCTTTTTCAATAGGCATGCTGTTTCTACTTATAACATGATTTTTTTATACACAAATCTTATTTCCTCTACCAAACAAAGGAAAAGGAGACAATATAGCGTATACTTAAATGACCTATTCTTTGTTAAATCCTGACTCTGAACTTGGAACCCGTATGACTTTGAGCAGGTGACTTAATCTCTTTGAGCCTTGGTTTGCACAACTGTAGAATGGGAATGAGTCCCAGAGGCATTTGGCAGAGCTAAGTAAGAAGATAAAATGGATGATGTGTTTACAACACTTGGCACAGTGTTGACTACCAAATGATCAGAGCTCATTAAGCTCATTGACTACCAAATGATCAGTGCTCATTAAGACCCAGCTATATCAGTCCATCTCGGTGAGGTAGCTGAGGAATCATCTTCCAAGCCCTATTTTTTGTTTTTGTTTTTTTGTATTCTGGTGCTTTGTGTACTGGTTTTGCACAAATAGGCAAATGAGCATATTATAAAAAGCAGAGCCACATAAGCTCAGGTTCCCACATTAAACCCAAGTTTAAATCCCATCACCACTATATCAGCTGTGGTGATGGGATAAAGCAAGATACTTACCCTCTTTTAACGTCACATTCCTGACATATGAAATGGGAGAAATCATTCCTTCCTTGAAAAGCTCCCATGAGGATGCTATGATGGTATATGAAGCATTTGATGTATAGCATGCACCCAGTGGTACGGTCACCATGGTAATATCAAAGATTCTGCAGGAAAAAGCTCCTTGCCATTCTAGCACTGAGGCCTGATTGTTCCCTTAAGCAATAGTTCTCAAAATGTGGGCCATGGACCTGTGGCATCAGTGTCACCTGGAATTGTTAGAAATGTACATTCTGAGGTCACACCCCAGGCCTACTAAGGAAGGCCCTGTGGAGTGGGGTCCAGGCAATTCTGAAGTATATCAGCATCTAAGGATTAGGGAGGGGAAGGCTCTGGATTTCTGCACAGCAACTTCCCACTCAACCCCAGTGGAGTGCTTAAGTCCCTTTGCTTTTCTGGTTACACCATCAATAAGTGAAGAGAGCTCCCAGAGAAGAACAAAAGCTCCTCAGTGCCATGGCAGCTCTTGAGTCTTTACTTCTTGTGATTACAGAGTTGATAGGAACAAAGAAGCAGCAGAGGAAGGTGTGACTCATGGGTAACAGCAGGAAATGTAATAATGTAATTTAGTCAGTAGTTCACTTTGAGACTTGGGACTGCTTTGGGAGTATACACTCACAATGTAAGCCACAAAGAGCCATCTATTAACTTGTAATAACACAAGTGTATAGGGCCAATTTTGGTTAGATTGACAAGATGTGAAAATTACTTAGTGTGTCTAATTTTAACATAAGCTGTTGACACATTTGTAAATACAGAAACTAAAGTTAGAGCAAATGATTTTAAGAAATTGGAAATACTGTGAAGGAGCATTGTAACTCCTACATAGTATTAAAGCCTGGAGAAATTTAAATATCTCTATAGCTGTGAAAAAAAAGCACAGCACATTTATATTTAGTTACCAGTTTTTTTTGAACACGATACCACGTTTATCTTTTCTCTTTTCTTTAGGCTCATTGTATGACATGAAAAACCGTCTCTTTGGCAGAGTGATTCTGCTAATCCAAATAAAGTTGAAATGAAATGACACAAGCCTTATCCTCCACCCCACCTGATTTCCCCTTTCTACACCCTGCTCTTTGCTGTGACTGGAGGTGGACACGGGAGGGACAGAACCTTAAACCAACCCTTGAACTGTCTGTCAGTCTGTGGCTCTGATTAAAACGAGCTGCAGAAGAGGTGCCCTTGGCATATAGAAAGAAAATGCAAGAATTCCTCTTAATAATTAATTTTTATCTCAAGCTTTGGATTCTCTTTTTATATATGGTTGAAGAGGGGAGGTCCTGTGCTCAAATATTTTCTTCTAAAAGGGTATGTGATTTAAAAAAAAAATGTTGACTATCTTTGGTTGGCATGGTGAGGAAAGACTTAGGTAAGAGGTTGGAAATGTTGATACCAAAATATTCTAGAATTTTCTGTAGATTTCCATTTTCTAGGGTACTTCTACCTAGAAAAAAATTATAGTTTTTCCTCATATCATGTACTATTGACTTCAGTATATGATTTGTAAATCAGATTAAGAGAAAAAAGGAGAAGCAGATAGCAGCTTTGCACTGGGCTATCTCTTCCTCTTGCACCTCCCTCTCCCACTTTTTGGGCAGACACTGAGCAAACAGTCAAAACAGAGCTGCCTGGTGAGGCAGGGAAGATATCTAGATGGTCTGTCAACTGAAGGAACCATTTCCCTTTTAAGGTCCTGGATTTCAGAGCCATTGCTCATGGGTGAGATCTGTATAAAAAGGACCTGTTTAAGAGAATGGGCAGAAGGCACAAGTGGCTTGAAGGGAAAAGACTGCACGGCAAAGAATGTGACCGTGTGTCTGCCCGCCACACTGCCTTTCTGTCACTAGGCTGTAGCCACATCACATTTGTTTCTCTCTCTCATTCTGAATGCTTCTGAGAAGTTTCAAAGGAAGGTAAGCAGTACCTATCTCATTTACATGCTTCTCTTGTTAAAATAACTCTGGGTTCTGCTGATCCTGGGCATGAGCCATTTTGGGAAAGAGATATGGCGCCACACATCCTCTCCCAAGGATGTTGCATGGCCACGAGTTTCTTCTGCCTATAGGTTGGCCACTTGCTTCTGTAATAAACTCCTTGGGAGCTGTGCAATGGGTCTTTTCCTGGTAGTCTATCTCCCAGAAATCTTGTGCTGCTTTGCTCTCTGAGAAACGACTACTTGGCACATGCTGACATTTGTCCTCCTCATTCCTACAGGCAGCACAAGGGGGTGGCCACAGGACTTTGCTATATGGCCATGCAATTCTTCTGAGACACTCTTTCAGCGGAATGGTAAGCATATCTGATGTCTGCTCTCACCATTCATTCAAGGAGGAGGAAAAAATGAAGGGGGTAGAAAGAGTACAAGAAAACAGCAATTCCAGGGGAAAAGCATGAACAATTGGAATGGAACTAACGATAGCAGATTATCGTCTCTGCATTTTCTTCATATTACCTACCTCAATTTGCAATTGTATCTTTGGGGTTTGATTAAAGTCTGACACCCCGTCTCCAACTCATTGGGGAAGAAAGCCATGTTTTGTTTTGTTTTGTTTTGTTTTATTTCACTAAACCTAACCCTACTGTGTACAGTGCTTTGACATATGATACTCAATAAATATTTTGTTGAGTTGATGACTGATCAAATGCCCATGGAATAATTGATATCTTTAATATACAAAGATAAGCAACATAGCAGGGAAACCAATCAAATGGGATTTTTGTGACAGTTCTCGACTTTGACCTAGTAAAAGAAATGGAATGATATCCATTACCTTCAGTTCTCAAAGAATGTGAAAATATTATGTTAATCCTGAGGCAAGAGGAAGAGAAGAGGCAAGGCAGTCACAGAAAGCTACTTGGCTATTACTAATCAGGGATCTAGAATCAGAATAATTCAGTGTCACTTGAAAAAAACTGGCAAGTTCAAATGAATAAAATTTGTAAAATACAGATAATGCAGATCTTTCACAGGGAGTTTTGAGGAGAATATTATGATCACTATCAAGTATAAAGAGTGCCAACTCCAATAGTATATCATCCTCATTTTCTATCACTGTAAGGAAGATTAGTTTTCTTTCTCTAGCCCTAGTTAAAAACAGATACGCTAATTTAAGATTTTATTTTCACACATTTACACCTGCAACACGATGCAAAGTTTATCTCAAAGCCTGAGCTATAGAATTGGCAACAGGAGCAACAACTGCCTTTTAAATAATTTATTTATTGCAGCATATTTTTTTTCTGAGCACTGGTAAGAAGTTGACCTTTTCAGCTTGAATGTGTATCCATTATAGTCCTTCATGGCAAAGGGCAGAGAACAAAAATGACCAAATGGAAGTATATCCAAGTAGGAGATGGGGACATTTTTTTGAATGGGGAAGTTTTGTACCCTGACAATCTCTGGAATTGAGAGGTGATCATTTATCTTTCAGAATTCACTATTTATCCATAGGGTAAATAAAACCCTAACATCTCTCTTTAGATACCAGGATAAACAGAACCTCAAACAGCACACTTCTCATGGCTTCAAAAATTCAGGCGAACATCCTGGGAAAGACACGAAGACTTACATTTTTGATTGTTAAGCTTCCTCTCTTAAAAAAAAAAATCCCACTCATAGTGAACACGAACTCTATACTGGCTAGTTCCTTTTAAGTACAGCTCTGGGACTAAAGCCTGTGAGATATGACTTTGTACAATGCAATGATTTTCCATCTTCCTCTTGCAGAGAAATAGAAGTATGCCTTGAAAGCACATCCCAAGAGCTTACCTACCTCATTGTCTAATTCTAAGATATGCTACAGTGCTCATCAGTGAAGGAAGCAGGCAGCAAGCCATGGGGTTCTTTATTCAGTTATTTAAACATCTGTCTTTAAGCTATCCCTGCACACACATGTATTTTTATAATCAGAAATAATAGACATTATTTTGAAAAGTTTTAAAGTTCACAGAAAATTTGAAAAACAAAATAAATAGAAGTGAGAGAATCATTATTGCTCCACCCACCCACCACCCCAAGTCAACTTCTGTTATCATTTTGGTGTAATTTCTTTTAGTCTGGTTGCTAGGCATTTAAATTTTTGTGCACATGTTAACTATATAAATGTACTATTTTGTATATCACTTTTTAGCTCGTTGTATTATAAGCAAGGCTTCATGCTATTACACATTCTTGATAAATACTCTTAAACATAATATTACATAAAGTAGAAATGCCAAAGTTTATCTAGGCTTCCCATTATTGTCGGTCATTTATGTTCCAGGTATTTTGTTCTTAATTTAAAATCTCCTCAGCGTATCTTTGAACTAAGGTATCTTTAATATTTCACGTTGGTTTCTAGAGCATATGCTTCTATATGTCACTGGGTCACCAGATAAAAATATCTTTGAGGTATAAAATGTATTATAGAAGTATTTTCTTAAGACATGGTGCCAATTAACTTTCAAATTAGCAAGATAAATGAGCCCCTTTCACAGGGGTTCATTGTTGAAATGAATGCCAAGCTAACTCGTGGTGACATACCAAAAGCCGTTGGAAGAGTACAACTTTACAGCATGTGCTCTTCTTTTGCAGTATCTAACATGTTTGACTACATCAAGATCCCAGACAGATAAACTTGCCTTTGATGTAGGTCTGCGGGAGCATGCCACAGGTAAGTCAACATTCCCAGATCTCCTACTCAGTGGGGTCTTGGGCTAAGGGCTTTTGAGAAGGAGCCTGACTGTGTTACTCATTTGGGATTCCAAACCAACCTGGTAAAGAAATAGATCTGAACAAATTTTGGAGAATAATAAACTAAAGAAAGAGTGTATGATGGAAACACAGAAATTAAGAATGAAAGAGTACATAATGCTTTAACCACAGTCTGCTAGAATCTCAAAATCTGTTTTCTAGCATTATGTACTGAAAGTAAGTAGACAAATTATTTCTGATAAGAACCAGTGATACTAAATAGCTGCTAAAAAATAAAGGTGACATAATAAAGGGCTTAAGTAATGAAGTCCAATGTCAGGATCAAAAGAGTAGTCCTATTTTATTCTGCAGTGAACAAGCTATTTCTAAAATTGTGTTTCCCAAACATTAGTGACATCCATCACCATGATTTTGCCATTCCAGTGTTTCCCTTTAAGATCATTTACCCTATGTTTTTCTTTAAATATGCTTACTCTTGTACTTAGAATTTTACAGACAAAACTTATGCCATTGCTGTAAGTAAAACACTGTTTTTGCTTGCCATAAAAGCAAATATAATAAAAATAAAACCATGTCATTAAATAATTGAGATGTTGACAAGTATTAGAAAAGTGTTGATTATACACTAATTCCAAGCTTAAAGCTTTTTCTGGTAGAATCAGAAGGCTTAAAAGGGTAATAAAAAGAAAATAAACGTCTTGCTAAATGATTCAATGTCATTTAATTGTCTTTTACCACCAACAGTATACATTATATACTTTGGGAACTTCTGGCTTTTTTTTTTTATGCAGCCAAAAATATTAACAGTCAAGAGGCGAGTACTGAAGAAAGGTACTGACCAGAATAGTATAGGTTCTCACTGGATACCAGAAATGAATAGAATGGAGGACTAAGATAACTATCTACAAATATTTGAAGTTATAGTATCAAAGAAGGTACTGACTTGCTGTGGATTATTCCAAAGACCAATAGAGTAGTGGGTAGAAGTTAAAAGGAAGCGTATTTCACTCAATGAGAGAAACTGCTTTGTAACATCTGCAATTAATGAACAGAAGAACAGCTGGCCTTGGGATAAAGGGCACTCCCTGTAACTGGAAAATATTCATGGACAACCTGATCGTCTATTAAGGGCATTACATATGGAATTTCTGCTCCATTTAGAGGTTGGGTTAATTATCAGTCAAGATTCTTTTTGCAAGCAATAGAAACCGACTAGCTCAAGCAGAATAAGAATTTACTGGAAGGATATTGGGTAAAACCTACTATAAAGCTGGATCACCAGGCTTGGAAATTGGGCAGAGACAAAGAGAGACCAGGGAAGAGAAAACAGCCTAAGGCACACTGCAGGAAGAGTTTAATTTGAGTTAGGTTTATAATGTCATGGCATTTTCTCTTAAATAGGAAGGGGGCTCCAATGTTGGGTAATCAAAGAAAAATTTAAAAAACCCTGTGTTGTTAAAAGCTGGGTCACTTCAAAAGGGAAGGATATAGATCATCTGATTTATAAATGATTTAGGGTGAAAAAAATCTAGAGTTCAATCCATGTGCGCCTGCTGTTTCTGCATCTTGCACAGTGGTGTCCTGAAAGTGCCTGAGGAGAACTTTTTCTCTTTTCCTCCTGTTCTCATTTTGTATCAAGTAAAGACTGGGTCTTCCTCTGCCCATTGTGAGAGCTTTTTTTCCAAAATAAGATTATATTTGAATTTAAATTGAGGTTCCTATGTTTTCGGCTAACGTGTTATTCTTAAAATACAATTTCCTCAAGGTGTTGTCAAACTTTGCTGAAAATTACAAAGTAAGTGGTTCAGTATTACATGGGGAGTCTCCTCACTTCAAGAGGAGATTCACACAGAATACAACAGAACAGTATCATCCTGTTTCCTGTCTGGATAATTCTATGAATGCCCTTTTGGCTCTGAAACCTTTTCATAGTTGTAAACAAACTACTCAGTAATTTAGTCTTTAGGAGAATATGAAAAGTTTAGGGGGAGTTTCTTGAATAATTCTGGAATATTTTTCCTTGACATACTAATGAAGTCTTAGTTTTAACAGATAATTGATGGTGATTTTACCTTGATTTTGGTTACTCAATTTATTCTATTCTCTTCTGGAAGATGTTTTTGTGTGTTTTGTTTTTAGAATTTAGACATAACTTTATAATTTAAGCTTAGGAGGAAAGAAATCTTTAAAACACACACGCAAAGCATTGTTACGTATTTTAGGGCCATGGACTGACCCATCCTATTGATTGAGTGACCAGCTCCATCCCTTAACTCTAGAGCCAGGAGAGAACAGAAAAACAACATACCCTACATGAGACTCTTCAGGAATATCCCCTGCCCCCAATCCTAGATACTGCCCTGTGGTCCACAGAATACATTAAAGATATTCATCTCATTTCCCCCTTCAACTGTAGAGGTCAACCTCTTTAGTCATGTAATTTTAAATTTAATCATAACTCATCCACATAATTTAAAGAGATAAATAGTGCTCCTGAGCTTATTGAAAACATCAGTCTCCTGTCTTCTTTGCTCTGGATTCCTGCCTCATACAGGCATCTACTTTAAGCTATTTGAATATTGTTTGCCACTTGTTTATGAATAATATGTATACATTGCTATTTTGTTATTCTTTCCAGACAAAGTATTATCTATGGATGGCCTGAATTTTGCTCTTACACTCTGCTCTTCCCTGTATTCCCACCCTCCTGAAATCTTTATTTTTATTTAACATCCATTTTTATTTAACTACCAAATTCATATTACTCACTTACATTGCTATAACTGTGATTTTATTTGCAAATGAGCCACATAATATACTCTGATCAGGTGATTTATTGGATTACTTTTGAATTTTCCAGTAATTAATAATTACCTTATTTGTTTGCTTAATTTTTCATGACTCAATTTTTCATTTATTTCTACGCTGTCCTATAAAATTGAACATCTCCCCTGATTAGCTAAGGTAACATTATCTGTTCTATCAATTTTAGTTTCATCTTAGAAACATCCACCAAGGCTGCCATTGCTTTTGTTAAGCTCTGACCTGGCCATGCTTCCATTGAACTATGATGGGGCCTTGCCTTTCTTGAAGTTCTGGCCCCCTCCCCAATATGGGGTAGATGGAGTCCCCTTTTCTTTTTCTCTCCAACCTATTTTCTAAATAAACTATATTTTCCAGTCTTTAAAAAAAAGAAAAAGAAACATCCACCTTGAGCCAGGGAATTCCCTTTGCCTCACTCCTAGATTCCATGTTTACTAGATCATATATTTATAGGGGTTTTTTGGTTTGGTTTTTGTTTGCCTTCTTGTTTGCCTTCTTGATTTACCACCTGACTTTGATGAGACACATTATACAATAGCTTTTACAGAAAAAGATGCATGGGAGCTAAATTGTTGTCTGAAAGTTTCCTAATTCTAGTTTCACAAGTAATTCATAGTTTAATGTAATTCTATATTGGAAATATTTTTTTTTCCTTGGCTTCCTGAGGGGCTTTTGTCTAATTTAATTTGATAGTTGAGAAGTCTGCATTCAGATTTCTTATCCTTTGTGTGTGACCAGTGTTTATTTTCTGAAAACTACTAAAAACATCTTTCTTTGCCCAGGTATTTGAAATTCCGTAGTATTGTATCTTGGCATGGCTCTTTTTTGCTCTGTGGTTTCACAGGAATAGACCCCAGTGTTGATCTCTATTCTATGCTCTGTCAGGAGGCTCTATAGGTTATTTCAGTCTGAAAATGCTCACTTTTAAGCATTGAGAAAGTTTTCATGTTCTATCTTTGTTAATTTACTCCCTTTGTTTTTTCTGTTCTTGCTTTCTAGAATTCCTCTAAATTTTCTGCTCATTTTTCTAATCTGTTTTTCTTCATTCTTCCTTCTGGAAGAATTCTTCAGCTTTATCCTACAATCCTCTTATTTCTTTTCTGTTTTTCAGGGTCAAATAATCTTTTTCTTTTTCTTAGAAGAGATTCTTCATAGATGCTAGTATAGCTATTTCATAAATGTCAACTTTTTCTTATCTCTGATACTACTGATCATATGATTTTTTTTTTTTTTTAGTTTTCTTTTATTCCCTATAATCTTTCTTTTCTTCAAGTTCCTTTCTCCCCTCCCTCCCCTTTTTTTGTTTCTGTTGCACCTAGTAGAGACTTTCCTCAGATGTTAGGTGATCCTCAGTCTTCATTCATGTTCCAACCAAGGCAGTAAAAGCTGGCTGTGGCTTTGTCATTTGCTAAACTTCACTTATAGGTAATCTGGCAGAGACATGGGCATTTCACTAAGATCCCAAACTAGGGAATCTTTTATCTTGGATAGTTTAGCTTTCCTAAAGAGTAATGCTCAAATTTGGGGCGGAGGGGTGGGGGGAAGTTCACTTTGATAGCTGGCATTCTGGAAGCTAAGGGGTGGAAGCATAAGAAAAGGAGCTGGGGTCTGCTAATCAGGGTGTAAACTTTTAATTGTTCTCTGTTTTCAGCAAGACTGTGCATTTCCTTGTTTGACAATGCCTAGTATTTCCAAGACCAGACCATGGTGGTTTGCCTTCCCTGAATTAAACTTCTAATCTTCTGTCGTGTGGAAGAGAAATAATCTTTTGGCCATGCAGGGTAGGGAAAGGAATTGGGGATTTGACTGTCCTTTCAAAGCTTTCTGCCAATCCTTCTGTTTTCAACCTGTCTTCTCCCACCTTTACAAGTAGCTATTACTTCGAATTCTAGAGACTTTCTGGGGAATTGGTAGGAGTAATGGACTTTTTTTAATTGGCAATTTCTTCTCTTCCATTTTCTTACTCAGATATTTAGGTTTTAACCTTTTCCTAGCTAAAATCATCCATCTGTTTTCCTTTTTCCAAAATATCTATTTCTCTTCTTTGCTATCAATTTCTCACCTGTTATCTGAGTCTGCAGATTTAGGACTTGTAAAAATTCCTTTACTAATATTTTGGTAGAATTTCATGATGGAGGGGACCAAGATGAAAGTGTGTAAGTGTTCAGTAGACCAATGAAGCCAATTATTAAAACAAAAATGTGAAAGGGACTATGAATAAAATATTTTCCTATATACATTAAAAATATCAAAGACTTCTGTAGTTTCTGGCTTCCAATACTCTTTCCAAAATATCATTTTTCTGTATCTAGAGAAAATGAAAATGATAGACATAGTCAGGATCAGGTGTGGGGTTATTTGGAATGGTTATAGATAAAAACAAATTGAGATCTAGAGTATGCATGTGGGGGGCTGTCAAGAGGAAGGAGAACGAGAGGACAAAATTTGGAACACTAACTTCTGTGAAACAATGACTAACTCAAGGAGCCTTCATGTAGGAGAAGCCTGTTGGTGGACTATACATCCTGCTTCCAAACAGAGGTCCGAGGGAGAGAAAGTTCGAATTGGCGATGACCTCATCCTTGTCAGTGTGTCCTCTGAAAGATATCTTGTAAGTACCTCCTAACACAGGAGTCCTTCATTTTTAGAATTATTTCCTTTGAGAACAGATGGTCACAAAGAATTAAGCCACAACACAACAAGTTGCTTGAATAAGATTATTTTACACAGTACACAATTGACCCTTGAACAATGCCAGGGCTAGGGGCACTGCCCTCCCCCCGGCATACAATCAAAATTTTGCACATGACTTTTGATTCTTCCAAAACATAACTATTAATAACCTACTATAATCGGGAAACCTTACCAATACCATAAAAAACCTATGAACACATATTTTATGTTGTATGTATTATATGCTGTATGCTCATAATAAAGTAAACTAGAAAAAAGAAAATATTACTAAGAAAATCATAATGAAGATAAAATATATTTACTATTCCTTAAGTGGAAGTGCATCATCATAAAGGTCTTCATCCTTGTCATCCTTATGTTGATAGGCTTAGAAAGAGGATTGGTTGGTCTCACTGTCTCTCTAGGATGGTAGAGGTGGAAAAAATTCATGTATAAGTGGAACTGAATGGTTCAAACCCGTGTTATTCAAGGGTCAGTTGTACTTAAGATGGGATTAAATTCTCCCCCCTGCCACATTATCATGATGCCTGGAATTTAACTGTTAGTTATTCTTTTGGATTATGGTGCTGTGTCCAGCAAACTGTGCTAAATTGCCCCAGGCACTATTTGCACATTAGCTTCCATTATTCGGAATTTATTACATTGTTTAGTTCTTGTTTAGTGAAGAACAAGCCAGAAAGAATGGAATACAGGAAAATAAGCTTATGTTAGAGAAAGAAAGAGAATTTAAAATGTCTCAGCAAATGGGATTGGGAGATGCGGGTGAAATTTTGCAGCTGGGAATGGATAATAGACAAATATATTGACATCAAGCCCTTGACTGGTGCTGGGAATGCCGCAGATGAAAGACATGTCAGAGAAGCTTCTCACAGAGCCAACCCTGTGAGAAAATTTTACTTTGCCTAGGCCAAACAAGTGATTGTTTCCCCTTGTGAGTTCCCTTATCCTACAAAGAAAAGACTTTATGACTTGGTGTTGAATTGGATCCAGCTGAGAGGATGAAGTCAACACTCACTCTCATCTGCCTTCTCTGAATATTTTCTCATTCCAGAATAAAGTGTCCCACTTTGAGGCTGCTTCTAGATCAGGTGGAGAAATCTCCCGCTGGCTATGTAGAATGAGGCAGCTGATAGTAAGGCTGTTTAATCCTTGAAATTCTAGGTGAGCTGCTTCTGTCAGGACTGGATTGGTGATTTAAAGGATGTCTCATTTCTGTTTCTGCTGCAGCATCTCTCAGTATCAAATGGTAACATACAAGTGGATGCCTCCTTTATGCAAACACTCTGGAATGTACATCCTACATGCTCAGGAAGTAGCATCGAAGAAGGTGTGCTTTTTATATGCATTCAGCCTTGAGCCTGCCAGTCTCTCTTGTGCTGTATATATTGACATTTCCTGCTACTTCCCAGCTTCCACCTGAATGTCTTGGTACACAGGTAGCATGATTTTAGCTCACCTGAATTTCTTTCTCTCAATTCGATATGGATTATTTTCTGTCCTGACTTCCAGTTACATGAGCATCCCTCAGAAATAATTGCATCATTTTTTAAATCTTTTGGAGCCCACTATTAGTTTAGCACTGCATGCATTCAGGACTTGGATACACATCTTTTCTCGCTCCCTGCATTTTCGTTTTTATTTGGTGTTACTAGTTGTAACTCATACAGACCCTAACAACTTCAGTTTAGAAGAGATTATTTGTCAAGAAGGTAACATTGTTTATATTTTCTCCCAACATCTCTCCATGTGGGAGAAGAACTTACTCTATAATAAAAGTGTGTTTGGCCATTTCTTTTTACTTGTATATATGGAAGGCTATTTTAAAATAACAAGAGAAATTTTATCCATATTTTATTTTTCTGGAAATAACATCATCAAACTTTGTTCAACATATTTTATTTCTTAGAACCAAGCAAAGTCAGTGTACCTTTCAAGTTATATAATAAATAGACTCACCTTCCTCACTCATAGGTGATACCACAGCTGAGCAGAATCATTAAATGTCAATGACCTTTGGATTATTGCATTATATTTTAGCACTTTATAGCAAGATGAGAATTTTTAAAAATACTCACATCACAGGCTTTAGCCCTATTAAAGTCTAGTAGTTTCAAACTGGGAATGCCCATCTGGGCTATGATGTTTGAAAAAAGAGAAAACTGAGAGTTGTCAAGGTGATACCCCAGTTGCAGAAGGCAACATAGCTAAACTGAATAATCATGAAAGGACAAATTCTTAACTCTTTCAGCAACAAGTGGAAGGCTTTAAAAGACAGGATGTGTTTAACCCTTTTCCTTTATGCCAAAATTAACCCACCTACCTCTCCCAAGTCTATTGTCAATCATTCCCTTTCTATTGAGAATCAAGAAACTCTGGGTTTAAATTTTCCCCTAGAAAGTTTTGACTCAGTCATCTCCATGCTAATTTTTTTTTATTTTCACCATAGAAATATAATTATGTCCCAGTCCCAACAGAGTGCTTGTGGAGATTAATTAAGAAGTGTTTGTGATTCATGTCAAAAAGGTTCTTATAGAAGTGTTGAGTGTCCTTGTAATACAAGCTGGATAGCTCATCACTTGAGTCATCTGGCTCTGTAAAAAATGCTCTTCCAGCATCCACTGGTGAGAAACCCACTTTGGCCCTTGAGAACATAATTGATCTTCATCATGGTACTTCTTTCCTGACTGAGGCCCTGATGTATTTCAATTAACAAAAGTTGTGATGCACCAGCACTTGGCAGTTTTCTCTGTGTGAGTAGGATATTGATTGAAGGAGCTGTGAAGGATGAATTTCAAATGGGGCATGGCCTCACCATTGTGAGGTGATAGAGTTTAATCATTAAGAGCTTGGTCATGGAGAGTTTTAATTTTCTAAATAAATTGGCTGTTAATAATTCTGCAGTATCTTATGAATTATTTTTAATGTAAAAAGGATATAACTTGAAATATTATTACAATGAGATATTAAAATTGGAAGACTTCTGAATATTTTAGAGAAGTTTCAGAAAACTTGTATTGCTTAAGTAAAAAAAAATGAACTAAGGAGTATCAGATTGTCACTGTACAAGATGCACTGATAATATCCTTTTCTCCTCTGACACAACTTCTCACTCTTACTGTTTTAATCCAGAACCCAAAATAGCTTAAGACAGCTCCTAAAGTGATCTAATTATGTGATTTTTTTTACTTTAAAAATTCTGATACAGACATTGACTATATTAAGTTAATATGTCTCCTGAGAACAAACTAGCCTGGAGAATTTTTTAACTCAGAGGAATAACAAGTCCCATTTCTTTGTGCAAGGCAAAGCTCAGGCTGGAGCCCTTCTCCTGCCTACTGTGTTATTTGAATTAAGGTGCAGAATTTATTGGAAGACGAATGGGTCACCATGTCCTCAAAGCTTACTGTTTCCTTTTCATTTCTGAACTCCATGACTGTTGAGAGTTCTTTCCTTATTCTGAAAGTTAAGTGCTTGTTGATAATGCATCTACACTTGTTCACTCAGGAATGCTGAAAAGTAATTCTGCTTTCCCCTTTGTGCTGTAGGAGTAGCATCCAGATATGATCTGTTTTTGTTAAATGCTTCTGAAAGGGGGCTCCTCCCAAGACAGTTCTGAAGAATAATTTGCTACCCTCTTCCCAGCACCTTTCTTTCCCATGACTGCAATGTATTTGTATTTTTGTCACAAAGTAGACACAGTGAGATTGTAAGAATTTATTCATAAATTTGGTATTGGATGTATTAGCATCCTAAGCAATTGGAAAATCCTTATCTTCCTAACAGTAGCAACTTAATTTTCCTTTTGGTTTTTAATGCTATCATTGACTCACTATTTTTACCTTACCTTTTGGTGTTGGACTTGCTCATCTCTGAAACTCTACTTAATTTTCAACATTAGGATTGTCTTGACTTTCTTGTCTTTTCTGCCTGAGGCCTGAATTCATGGAATCTGTACTTTCCCAAATGCATCTCTCATAGTATTTTCTGTAACTGGCTCAGACCCGCATGACTTTACCCTTTTGAAACATACTGTTGTCTTTGTTAAACTTCCTATCAGTTCATGGTAGACTATAATTCCCTTACAGGATACCTGCTTGGTGGGCATGTAGTACGTCTTTTCCATGGTCACGATGAGTGTTTGACGATACCATCTACAGACCAGAATGATTCCCAGCACAGGTAAGTAGGCAGCTTCATCCATCTCTTAGCTGTTTCTAGTCTCAGGTGACTAAGACTAATGAGCTTGCATTTATGTTTGGTCACAGGTGAATTCTGTACATGGATGGTCAATTGACAAACCTTCCTCCAGCCATGGGTTCCAGTTTGTAAAGTGGGAGTGGCAGTACAGTAGAGCTGTCACAGGAAGCTCTATGTACACATGCAGTGCTATCATGCTTTCCAATTCCTTCATTTTCTTTGGTTGGGCACTTGTACAAATTATTCACTGGGATCTTCAAGGACAGACCATCTCTATTCCCATTGCACATGCTAAGTAAGGTAGAGTGTATTGGTTTGGTTTTGCTTATCATTAAATAGCATTGGAGAAACAACATGCTCATGTCATCAGGAGCTGGATTTAACAGGAGGTGGTGCCAAGGGCGTTTAGAGGGTGCTGCTGAGGGTGATGCTTCCTTTGGTCCTACACTTGACAACTTGATGGACGCTTTTCCAAAAATCAAAACATTAGATAGACAATAGTCATACAAGTCTTAAACTCATACTAAAAAGTCCTTTAGTATTCTATCATCAAAGGAACAGAGCATGTAAAGCTTGGCCCTGGAAATACAGACATATGATATTTTAAAAAATCAAACCTTGAGTTCAAATTATTATGAATTTGGTCCAGCAGCAAGTCTGATCTGGTGATAATGCTTTCATTTTCTTTTGTATACTGCCTACAGGTCACCTGCATTTCTTTTGCTTCATTAGAAACGTGGTTTTATAAGTCTTCACAACTTAGAGATTGTATAAGCCAGATTCCTGCCAAAGGTCACACACTGGCTGATTTCAGATGTGAGCCTAGAAGACAGAGCTCTTATTCTCCACTAGGGCTTGTTTTGTATTTGATTTACTAAAGGACTCCTAGAAGCAGTGTGTGCTGAAATGTATCATTATGTGTCTTAGAAATTACCCGTTGGCAATATGTATCCCTTAGAGTTGTGAGTCTTTTCCTGCTTGCTATCTCCTCTTATACCCCTTCATGGGAACCAGAGGTGGCTCAGAACGGTGAGTAGGACACATGAAGCACAGGCCTATGTCAAGTGCCGTGCTTAACTCACTCACTGGCTCCCTGGCACTGATCCAGTGGTTGACAGTTATCTCTGAGTAGGAAAGTCAAGTTGACCTGATTTTCCTTAGAATTAAGGATTCCCTTCTCCATCATGTGATCCTATTCAATTAAGATTTTCTTTTTCTTTTTTTTAAGAAGTGAAACTATGCAATAGCCCACGTGCTGCCTTTTTCAAAAATATGTTATTCTGCTGCATCAAGGAGGAGGTTTGCAGGTGGATAAAGGACTGGCATTTTGCCAAGTTTTGTAGGGTTATCTGCATCTAAGATGAAATACACCAGAATGTCACTAGTTTATTCTTCCCAGTCCCGTTTTACTTTAAAGGGTAGGAAGTACTCGCCATGTGCGTGTTCCCTCCCCCTCCCATATCTGTCACTAAAATTAGAGCCAAATTAGAAACAGCTGGGCAGAAACTATGCCACTTAGAGAGATTTGTCATTGGGTGGGCATTCCTGTCAAGTTATGTAGTAAATCATGCGTAAAAGGAAAGGCTGGGCAGGTGTTTGAGGGGAGTTGGTGGGAGAGAGAAGGAGATGCAGAAGAGTTCCCAAAGTGGGCACACACAGTCAGACATGTGTTCCATCACTGAAATAAGAGTGAACAATTCCATAGGCTCCAAGTTGTGTTTTGGAAAGCATTTCAAAACAAGAGTGCTTATCCCTTTTTAAGGAAGCATGAAGGTGTTGAGACTGGGACAAATGAACAGCTTTTCATCACACTAGAACCTAATTTTTCATATCAAAGCAGTATGCCTTGGTGTTATCTAATGTCTAAGTGGGGTAAGTGTTAAGCTTGATCTTTGTTCTCCATTGTCAAGTAAATCCTCAGAAATGGCCCAAATTGCCAGGAACATGGAAATCTGAGGGAGCATGAGGGAATAGGAACTAAAGAAAACACACTAAGAGATCCCAGCAACCACAAAGGCATGCAAGTGTTCCTGTGATGGTGCTGACTCTCCAGAAGAAATCATTCTCATTCCCTCTAAATCCTGAGAGCAGCCAGGCAAAGTAGACTGATGCCCCAGAGTGGAAACCCAAGATTAACATCTGACATTCTGAGTTCTGATCCTTGCCTCTGCCTCTGGCTTCTCAAACACCCTGGGATATGTTGCTTAACCTATTGAAGCTAAGGCTAAGCTGTCAGCCAAGCTTTCAAAAGCACCTCAGCTTGCCACCCACACAACTCCTCCCCTTGGAATTGTTTTAGAGAACAAGAACAAGTTGTTTCAACCTCAGTAACCTTGTGAGATTAAATGGAGCAAGCCACCCAAATGTCCCAGGTGAGAAGAACAAACCTTCACAAATACTTCAGATGTTAGGGGTAGAGAGTCCTCTAGTGTCAGCTCCAGTTCTGTTTCACCTGTGACCAGGGTGGGCGACTTCACCCTCTCCACTTGATGGATATTTCCAGCCAGCATTGAAGGAAGAGAAGCATCAGTGAGAATCTCAGCAAGTTTTCCTGAGTGGCTAGGAAGTCAGTGCAGTATCTTTTTCATTCTAGGTCTAGTACAGAGAAACCGGCAGTGCAGGATCTCTAAAATAATATAGGATCTTTTTTCTAATATTTATTAGATATTTCCTAATAACATGTACATTAGAAAAAGTTTTCATAATGTGATCTTGTCTTCCAGTGGTAACCACTGCTAATGTAACATTTTGTTGTATTTCTGTGCCGTTAATCTGTACATGTTGAAAAATTTATATCTGAACAAAATCCGCAATATAAGTAGTAGTTTGTATATCTATGGGCATAGTTGTACACATTGATACTTTAAAAAGTGCTTTAAATTCTCACTACTATTCTGTGATGTATGTACCCTTATTAGACCCATTTTACAGATAAGTAAATTGAGGCACAGAGCATTGAAGGGGCTTGCCCAAGGTCACACAGATTACAGATTCAAACCCAAGTCAATCTGACTTTCAAACCCATATCTTGAACCAATTTATAATTATACTACTTCTCCAGAGGGAAAAAATAAGTATGCATTTCCTCTTCACCCTTATTGATTACCTATTGTCTCTAGAATCTAGGTCAAGATTCTTCTGGGACTTGAGTGATTCAATTGTGATATATACAAATCCTCTGTTGTAGAGGTAGGATTTTAAATTAATAATCTTAAATGCAGTTAAATGATTAGTTTTGATCTGCGGTCACAAGATTCTCAAAAAGTAGCTAGATTCAATATACCAGCTAATCTGGGAATCACTGTTCTTGAGACATGCTCTCAAACTATGACAGTTTGTTTAATTCTACATAACCTGTGATCTGGGTAGATTTTTCCCCATTATACAGAATTTAAAGCCTTTCTAATCACTAGAAAAACATCAGACAAACCCAAATTGAGAGACATTTCGCAAAATGCCCAGTCAGTACTTTTCAACTGTCAAAGTCATGAAAAACAAAGCAAGACTGAGAAACTATAATATATCAGAAGGGACATGACAGCTAAATGCAATGTAGTATCCAGGAATGTATCCTGGAACAGGAAAAAAAATTAAGGGAATAATTAAGGTGAAATCCAAATAAAGACTTGACTGTAACTTACAATGACAGACCCATGTTGGCTTCTCAGTTTTGACCAATGTGCCATGGTAATGTAAGATGATAAAAGGGAAAACTGAGTGAGCTCTCTATACTTTCTTTAGGAACCATTGTATAAACCTAAAATTGTGTTAAAATAAAAATTTAATTCCAGAACACTTTAAAAGATTGTACTTAAGAAAGGAAGAAATGGTACAGTAATAAAATCATGAACACTATATAACAATTGAGCATAAAACTTTGTTACAAGTATCCTAGAACAATGGAAATGAGTTCACACTGTATTTAACATGCGTTTTAAAAGTACAACTACATTTTTACAAGATATAAAACTACATCAAGGATCTTAACCTGAAAGAATTGGAGCATTCTGTGTCTGGTGTCATGGTGTAACTGGGCTATTCTGACTCCTGATGTAGAAGTGGAGACGTTCTTGCCCCCGCCTTTTCACTTTACCCCCGATGACCCCTAAGTGTCCACAACATGGGCATGGTGTGTCATTCCTTCCCCTTAGCCACTTTTACTCCTCCTGAGCATGAGCATGGGACACTGCCTCCTTCTGACTTGCTTTGCATTCTGCTTTCTCCAAGAGGGCTTAGACGGCAGCAGGGTCTGAGCAGCCTCTGCAGGGAGCTGTTCCTCACCCCTGTGCTGATCACTGTCACACATGTAGGAGCTGATCTCCAACTCTGTTCACAGGAGGATATTCTATGAAGCTGGGGGAGCTGGGACACGAGCCAGGTCTCTATGGAGAGTGGAACCCCTTCGGATAAGGTAATGGAGGGTCTGGGGGTACTCTTTTCAAGCTTACTTTCTTTTCCAATACAGTTCATGCTCCTAAATATTTCATTTGTTCCATCCCACCTGGCAAACTCTCAAATGTCCTTAGTCCAGAGCTAAGCATTGAAATTTCTGTGATTTTATTTATAAAGAACAGCAACTCTCGCACATGTACTCGCTCTCTCTCTCTCTCTCTCTCTCTCCCCTCTCTCTCTCTCTCTCTCTCTCACACACACACACACACACACACACACACACACACACACTTCCAAAACCACTGTTTTGACTCTGAAGCTAGATAATGTGTAATTACAGTGACTGCGTCATCAAAGGCAATCTTGGACATGGTCACTGAAAGCCATCAAAGTTCTCCCATTTGTTTTCTTAAATGTATTCTCTGGAACCCAGATAAGTCTTCTCCCTCCTCTCAGTAGCTTTGTGGTTCCAGTGAACAGTCAGCTTTAAATGATAGACAGGTAGTCTTGTTGGCATGGGGCAAGGAAGATTGAAACTTCACTAGAAATGTAACTGTGAAGAAAACAGTACTTACCAGAACTTTTCAGAGACAGTATTGTTCCTGTGTGGAAGGAAAAGGAGGCTGAGACTTTCTAGTCACAAGCTTAAATAGCCACATGTGGTTGCTAAACTTCAAACTACTGGGAGGGGATCCAATTAAGCGCAGGACCTTTATTGGACTGAGAGAGTTTATAAGCTGGGTAGAGTTAAACTGCTTGGGGAAGAGGGTTAAGCGTTGGCCTCTGGTTTTTATTCTTCATCTTTCCTCCAGATCTCTGCTCAGTCTTTCCCTGAATACATGTTCAATTTAAAAGTCTTTTTCATGAGGGGTATATGCCACCAAGGGAATCCTCCAGATAATCCACTGGAAATCAGAAGAGAATATTAGAACTTCTCTTACACCACACACATACAGATGCATTCAAACTTTTTACCTTGAAACTAGTGGCTGCTGGTTTAAGGAATATTGGTTTTAAGGATACCCACTTGTCAACTGGTTTGAGGCATTTTAGGTCTTTTTCCAGCCCCATTAAAATCTGACAGTAACATACTCTTGTTATCCGGATATTAGGCCTTGATTCTTGCTTAATGGACTTTTTAAAAAGCCAAATTATGTATGTGTACATGTAGTTCTAATCATAGTTGTTTCTTCATTTCCCCAGAGACCAAACATGAAGAATTTAAGCCTTTTATCATTGAGATTTTGATTCATTGGTGCTCCAAAAAGTTGGATAAAATGGAGAGTGATTTTATATCTTATTTTATATTTTTATAGATAAGGTCTTGCTCTGTCATCACCCAAAGTGGAGTGCAGTGGTGTGATCATAGGGCTATGGTAGCCTTGAACTCCTAGCCTTAGGCAATCCTCCCACCTCAGCCTCCCAAGTTGCTAAAACTATAGACATGCTCCACCATACCTGGTCAACTTTTTAAATTTTTTGTGAAGATGAGGTCTTACTCTGTTGCCCAGGCTGGTCTCAAACTTCTGGCCTCAAACAATCCTCCAGCCTTGGCATCCCAAAATGCTGGAATTACAGATGTGAACCACCATACCCAGCCTTAAAGTAATGTTTAAGTTTGACACATATATCTCTTAATAATTTTATTATATCTTAAAGTTGTTTTTTTAATATGAGCAATTATTTTTTTAAAAGATAAATTCTGAATTACAGGTTATTCAGGGAGTAATTTCTCACCTAACACTATGACTTTTGTTGAATGCTAATCTTTTGATGAGGGACAACGAACAGATCGGCATTCGACATAAGATCTCCCTTATCTCAATCCTCTTATCCTGCTTTACTTTTTTTTTCATAGAATTTGTCACCTTCTAACATAAGACAATATTGACTTATTATGCTTGTTTATTGTCTGCATCTCTCTGGCAAGAACAAGCTGCATGGGTATTTTCACTATTTCTCTTGAAGATAGGACTCTTTGTGGTATAAATGTTTGAGTTCAGATGGCACATTTGGAAAAGATTTGCTTTCCCTAAAACAAGTTTCTGTGCAAATAAAAGTTTTACATCCATTTTTTGGTCATTTGCATCTGACACTTCAATGGAGTGAGGGAGAAGTTGGAAACTTAGGACTCCCAGTTATATGAACCATTGACCTGCCTTCATGATCACGTTCCCTGTGGTAAAGAGAGAGGGGTCAAAAGAGAGCATGGTGCTGGGTTGTAGGCAGATGTGAAATAGCACAAGTAAGGAGCCTGGTGCATTGTCCCTTAAGGATGAACACTAGAGGGTCTTAACTCTGCTGGCATGTATAAGAAAGCATGGGATAGGCATTGAACAGGACTTATTTTTGTATAAAGGCAGTTTCTTATCTATTTCATCCACCCAGCTGGAGTGGCAGTAACATCAGATGGGGCCAGCCTTTCCGACTCCGGCATCTCACCACAGGCCACTACCTGGCCTTGACAGAGGACCAAGGCCTTATACTGCAAGACCGGGGAAAGTCAGACACCAAGTCCACAGCTTTCTCTTTTCGGGCATCAAAGGTAAGGTGTGATCAAGTGGACTTTGGCCCTGTTCTAAAACTGAAAGCGCTGAAACCTCCAGGTAGAACTATAACTGAAAAAGGAAGTAGGCTGGAACAAAGTGAAATTAGAAATTAGACCTCAGATAAATACTTTCTTCTTTTATCTTTTGGATTGAGTTCATAGAGGAAAGTGTACCTTAGATAAAGGTTGAAGTCTTGAGCAAGAGGAGACTGGAAAGCTCTAGAAAATTCAAGGCTCACAGCAACAGAAGTGGTTGCTCAGAAGCTGATGAAAAATGTTGTTGTGTTATACATCCTAAGTTGTTTTTAATAACTTCTAACTTACATTCTTCACTCCTGTAAAGCAGTGGTACCATGGAAGCGTTAACTTCATAGCTACATTTGTTTAAATAAAAAAGATGATTTCCTTCAGAATGATGTGGGGAAGACATGATTCTGGACATGACCTCATCTTGTAGTTATTTGTATTATACAGAAAAGTTACTTGTACCTTCCTTGTTCTTTTGTTGTTGTTCTTGCTATCTCTGCTCCCCAGATCACTTAGCATTCTTCTGTTCATTCCCAACCTTCATTAAGAATGGATGCTGAGGTGAGTGGATTGCCTGAGCCTGTGGGTTCAAGACCCGCCTGGTCAACTTGATGAGACCTCATCTCCACAATAAATCAAAAAATTAGCCGGGTCTGGTAGCACGCGCCTGTCGTTCCAGTTACTTGGAAGGCTGAGGCAGAAGGATCGCTGGAGCCCAGCAGGTCGAGGCTGCGGTGGCTGGGAGTGGCCAGTGCACTCCGGTCTGGGCGACAGAGTGAGACTCCAACTCAAAAAAAAAAAAAAAAAAAAGAATGGAGTCAATGGTAGTTAGGTTAACCCCATGTGAATAGCTTTGCCATTTGATGTCTGTATATACAGTTGTTGTTTTTTTTCCCCCACTCCTCCACTTTTAATGGCCAGCCAAGTTTCAACCCTGTATAACTCAGAGCCGGATCTATTTGGATGGTCAGAATCACATACTGAGCTAACTTCTGACAGACAGTTGGATGGTCTGTCACTTTATGATTGTTCTGGAAAGATCACCCAAGCATAAGAAAGGCTCTGCACAGATGTGTGCCTGGATATCAGGAAGTCTACACTTCTTAAGAGTACAGCTTGACATCTCCTTGGGGAACTTCATCTCAAGTTGCATTCTTCTTTGCTCTTTTCCAAAAATAGGTCTTGATTTGTGTTCTCAACATGATTTCAGTCAAGGGTTATTGATGATTCTGTTCGCATAGGATTAGTTGTGAGACTGATGCTGAATTTTTGATGGGGCAGCTCTGCTTCTCAGTGTATCCAATGAAAACAGTGTTTCAGCACTGCTCTACTTGGAAGTAGGAAACTCAGAGTCTTCTTTTCCCCCTCACTTTATGGTTCAATGGTCTTTTTAGACAGAGAAACTCTTTGGCATATAGTTGGTTTTTTGTTTTCTTCAAAATTAGACTTTTTTCACACCTTTATTTCAATTTTTTTTTTTTTTTTTTTAAGTTGGAGTTTCACTCTGTCACCCAGACTGGAGTGCAGTGGCCGCTCCCAGCCACTGCAACCTCGACCTGCTGGGCTCTGGAGATGCTTCCGCCTCAGCCTTCCAAGTGGCTGGAACTACAGGAGCGCGCTACCATGCCCGGCTAATTTTTCGTTTTATTGTAGAGATGACGTCTTACCAAGTTGCCCAGGCAGGTCACGAATATTTCAAATATTTTAAAACATGAGATTCCTGCCAATATCTTCATAAACTCCTCTCAAATATAATCTGCTTCTTTTCTAATGGCATGGTAGTTCCTTGATTCCATTCTGGTTTTCTTTTTTTTTTATTGTTTGAATTAGAATCTCACTCTGTCACTCAGGTTGGAGTGCAGTGGCACGCTCATGGCCACCCCAGCCTCGACCTCCTGGTCTCTGATGATCCTTCTGCCTCAGCCTTCCAAGTAGCCAGAACTATAGGCATGTGCTACCATGCCTGAATAATTTTTGATTTACTGTAGAAACGAGGTCTTGCCAAGTTGCCCAGGCTGGTCTCGAACCTGCAGACTCAGGCAATCCACTCTCCTCAGCCTCTCAAAGAGCTGGGATTCCAGGCTGAGTCACCCAGCCCATTCTTGTTTTCTGAGCACATCTTTATGTTCACATCATTTTCTTTTTTTTAGATTCCCAGCACAAAAAAGATTTTCAATTCCAATACATCTATTTAGTAAACATTTTGGCCTCCAAGAAGTGGTTTAGAGCAGTGCAACTTGCTAAAAGAATCAGTGAAACAAAGTGACATAAAAGTCATAAGAACAGAGAGATAGGATCACATTCTCTCCTAAGAGACAACTGGGACATGGAGTTGGGGTACAGATCAGAGGAGAGGCGTTGGAAGATGAGAAATGCCTTTTCATGGTTAATGACTAAGCAGGTGCCTTTTTAAGAATGCCAGCGAAGTCTTTCTGTATCTGAACACTCTACCCCATTCTTCTAGGCTCACCTGGGATGTGCTGCCCCGGGAAAGAACAATGACCTCAAGGCCTTTACCATTTCAGAAAGGGGATTCTCTTATAGTAGAGGAATCAGGCTGCCTTCCAGGCAGTTGGCAGGATCCTGCTCCAAGGGGATTCTTCCATTCCACTCTTCTCTTGGCTCAGCCTTGTGAAGCATGGCTCACCACTGTTTCCTGGTCTCTGGGGGAAGCAAGAAAAGCTCAGAGCACCATCGAGTCCTTATAACACACCCTTCACTTGGTACTACTTCTGGCCTCTTAAGACACTTTACCCTCCAAAAGCCTATTGCTTGTCTCCCCAAGTCCCTCAGTTTCCATGCACAGTGAGGCTAGCAGCCTACAGCTGAAAAGTCATTGTGGTGCCATGGGAGCGACCAGCATAGCAGAGCAGGAGGAAAAAGTCGCCCATGAGTCATATTGTCCTGTGCTCTTGGCAGTGTGGCTGCATGTCATTGGAGTCACTATGTTAGAGATTTTAAATAACTCTCCCTGCGGTAGTATTCAGTCTGGCTACCTTTATTTCAATTTGAAAAGAACCGAAATTACAATGACCTAGGTTATATGGCAGGTGAAGGTGTGGCTGTGTTCCAACTGGAAATCAGGGCTTCCTTGGGACATTGTGTGGACAGGGCATTTGTCGTCTTAGACTATGAAGTGACCCAAAAAGGAAAACAAAGCCGGGAGCACACAGCTCTGCCATATACAATCCAAATAGCTGTGGGGGGAGAGCACCAGAGAGGCCCTGCTTTCTCTAGACCTCCAGGTGCCTCCTCAGTAAGCATATTCTTACCTTGCTGAGTGTAGGCTCTCTTCCTTAAACACTCACTCTAGTGTGCTTCTCTTCCCTGGGCAATAGTGACATTCCCCAGCAGAAAGAGGTTTGAGACTCTATTTTTCACAGTGTCAGGGCACTGAGTCATCTGGCCAGCTCTTGCCTGTTAACAGGTGGTGTGTGACAGGGCAGATAGCAGACTGTAGCCTAATGGAATTTCAGAACCTGGATGGTGGTGCAGGAGTTTGGTGGACTCTGTGGGAAGGCTGAGGGAGAGGTGGAGACCATGAGCTGTGTCCTATGTGACTGGGGTGAGGGGATGGGAAAGCAGGGTGTTCATCTGATCCTCTGTATGCTGGAGAATCTGAAAAACAGAAAAAGAGACTCCTGGGAGGAGTACTGTTTGGGCTTCTGTCACATGTTTGGGGAGGACTCTGGGTTGTCTGGGCCGTGAGTCATTTGGTAATGATGAGTTTCCCACCCCATATTTTCTGTCAGGTTGTATTAGGCTGTGACAGCTATGACTTCTAGATCGAGGGCTAAGGAACAGCTGCAGGTGCATGTTAATATCCTTAGTAGGCTGCCCTTATGGGAAGATGGCAGTTGCCCCTGTGCGGTCTCGTGTGTGTATGACAAGATGAGGGTGTGACAGCCTTTCTGAAAGGTGTCCAAGTCCAAGCACCAGCTGCAGTTATTGACCCAGCCTAGCTCAAAAAGAATCAAATTGAGTTTTGTGAGAACACTATAAGAAATATAATAATAATGAGCAGGATGTAATCTTGGTCAAGGTCTCCCTTCCCCCTACTTCAGCAGGATGATCCAAATCAAACTGGATGTCTGGGATGTACTGTTGCCTCCAAAATGCAGCATCACCACCCTGTCCCTTTTATCTGAAAGTGGTGTGTTGTGAGACACAGCCTGGTTTCAAAGTCAGTCTAGATCTGGCCTTGACTCCCATCTGCTCTCTATGAGACCTGGAACACAATTCTTAATCTATTTGCGCCCCGTTTGAAGTCTGTCATAAAAGATTCTTTCTGATCCGACCCCTGCCTGCCCTTCCCTTGTGTTTCTTGCCACTTTCATGAGGTTGCCTTACACTGCAACAGACTAAATATTTATCAGCCTTGGAACATGTTATTTTCTTTTCTCCCTGCCAAACCTGTGCCCAGACGCCTTTTGCCCCTCCATACACCACCATAGTAAGAGCCTTCTCATGCTTCCAGGCAACTGTCAGGTGCCCCTTGTGAGAGGAAAACCTGCTCATGTGTTTGCTGCAGCTGTCACCTCCCTGATTGGAAGCACCGGATGACAAGGACCACACATACCTGTCGCTTTATTTTTGCACTCCAGCACTTCACAGTGTATAGTGTGTAGTAAATTTGAAAAATACTTGCTGAAGGGATCCATAAACATGGTCATCCACTGAAATGCAGAGTGAAATCTGCTTCATTCTAGCCTCCAGCATCTTCATAGAGACGTCCTGCCATCCTTGTGTAATCATTTTGCTATCTTAATCTCTCCATACACATCCAATGAGAGAGATTCATTTTACTGTGAACATCGAAAGCAAATTTCTATGAACTTGATTTCATATCATTTTTCCATGGTCTTGACATTGCAAGGCCATTCCCCCAAGGATTGTCAGATAATGTGATTTAATATTTACTCTGGCACGGCAGTACTATCTGTTTAGATGTCAGATCTCAATGTCAGTTA